CAAAGACATTTTAGACAATTGTACGCTTCCAGCCTTGTGGTAACAGCTCTGGCAAGGCCTTCTGCTGTTCCAGCATGACTGTACCCCTGTGTACAAAGCCAGGTCCATTACTAGCTTGGTGTTGAGGAACTCGAGTGACCTTCACAGAGACTTGACCTCAACCCTACTTAACAGCTTTGGGATGATTTGGGACACTGATTGTGAGCTAGGTTTTCTCAACCAACATCAGTACCTGATGTCAACCCTACTGAACACCATTGGGATCAGGTCATCTCATCCAACATCAGTACCTGACCTTAACCAACCCTACTGAACACCATTGGGATCAGGTCATCTCATCCAACATCAGTACCTGACCTCAACCCTACTGAACACCATTGGGACCAGGTCTTCTCATCCAATATCAGTAACCTGACCTCAAATCTAGCGAGCACCATTGGGGTCACATCTTCTCATCCAACATCAGTAACCAAACGTAATCCTACTGAACACCATTGCATTTGGGTCTTCTCACCCAACAACAGTACCAAAACTCAACCCTACTGAACAACTCAAGGATCAGGTTGTTTCATCCAACATCAGTACCTGAACTTAACCCTACTGGACACCATTGGGACCAGGTCTTCTCATCCAATATCAGTAACCTGGCCTCAAATCTAGCGAGCACCATTGGGGCCACATCTTCTCATCCAGCATCAGTAACCAAACTTAATCCTACTGAACACCATTGCATTTGGGTCTTCTCACCCAACATCAGTACCTAAACTCAACCCTACTGAACAACTCAAGGATCAGGTTGTTTCAACCATCAGTACCTGAACTTAACCCTACTGGACACCATTGGGACCAGGTATGCTCATCTAGCATCAGTACCTGACCTCAAATCTACCAAGAACCATTGTGATCACGTCTTCTCATCCAACATCAGTACCTGATTTCAACTCTACTGAACAACTCTAGGATCAGGTCTTCTCATCCAACATTAGTACCTGACCTCAGATCTGCCGAGCACCACTGGGATCACGTCTTCTCATCCAACATTGGTAACCAAAATTAATCCTACGGAAAATCATTGGGAACGGGTCTTCTCATCCAACATCAGTACCTGAACGCAACCCTATTGAACAACTCAAGGATCAGGTTGTCTCATCCAACATCATAACTGGAACTTAACCCTACTGAACGCCATTGGGACCAGGTCTTCTCATCAACATCAGTACCTAATCTCAAAATCGACTGAGCACCATTGAGATCAAGTCTTCTCATCCAACATCAGTACCTGACCTCAAACATACCAGGCACCATTGGGATTGGGTCTTCTCATCCAACATCAGTACCTGATCTCAACTCTACTGAAAAACTCTGGGATAAGGACATCTCATTCAACATCAGTACCTGATCTTAACCCTACTGAACACCATTGAATCAGGTCTTCTCATCCAACATCAAAACCTGGATACAACCTTACTGAACTTTTGGGCAAAATTGAAGATTGCAAGCTAGGTCTTTTTATCCAAAATCAGTACCTATATTTGAAAACTAACCACCTGGAACTCATATGGGGTGCACAACCAATGGTGGTGCCATGATAAACGTATAGAAATAATCACCACTCTAGAGTTTTCTGGCTGCATTTTACTTGTCAACATGTCAAGCTGAAGAACTGATGTTTTGCAAACATAAAGATCCCCTTTTTCACAGTGTCCCTGTTTATGGTTTGGATCCCTGAAATCTTTGTTCTTCAACTTGACGTGTGTCTAAGTAAACGTCGTCTTGGGAACTGGTCATTACACTCTTTCAAAATCATTACCTAGCCTCACAAATGTTCTTTTGGCCAAATGGGCACCAATTCCCACAGACACCCTCCAAGTTGAGTTGAGGGTGTTATATTTGTTAAGTGGGGCCAGATCCATACTAACGGCCATGATTTTGGAATTAAATGTCCAACAAGCTCCTTTAGGTGTGATGGTCGAATTTTGTGGCCATGTATTATACTACTGAAAAAATGAGGTTTCTGTTTTGGGTTTGTGGCAATATTTTATTTCCCACAAAATTTTGTAAATGAACAAGGTACAGTATATTTATATTCTTCCCAATAAATGACGTCTTAGCAGTTAAAACCTGACCTTTCCTGCTCTATCCAAAAATGTATAAAAAAAAGTTTTTGGCTGGGCTTACAATTTCTACTTAAAAAAATATGATGTAATGTTTTGGCTGATATTTTCCACAGCTATGCACTATATATGTCCTGAGGTACTGACAGCACATAAAGTATGACATATACAATATATATATACACACACTGCTCAAAAAAATGAAATGAACACTTTGAAAACACATCAGATCTCAATGGGAAAAAAAATCTCCTGCTGGATCTCTATACTGACCTGGACGGGGGTAATGTGTGAGGAACATAAGGATGCCCCATCGTTTGATGGAAATGAAAATGATCGACCTACAGAGGACTGAATTCAAAGACACCCCGAAAATCAAAGTGAAGAAATGATGCAGCAGGCGAGTCCATTTTGCTGAAATGTCATTGCAGCAACTTAGAATGGTCCTCAGTAGTTTGTATGGCCCCCACGTACTTGTATGCATGCCTGACAACATCGGGGGAGGTTCCTAATCAGACCACGGATGGTGTCCTGGGGGATTTCCTCCCAGATCTGGACCAGGGTAACACTGAGCTCCTGGACAGTCTGAGGTGCAACCTGGCGGCGTCGGATGGACCAAAACATAATATCCCAGAGATATTCTATTGGATTTAGGTCAGGTGAGCATGGGGGCCATTCAGTGGTATCAATTCCTTCATCCTCCACGAACTGCCTGCATACTCTCACCACATGAGGCCCGGCATTGTCATGCACCAGGAGGAACCCAGGGCCCCCTGCATCAGGAGGAGCCCAGGACCCACTGCACCAGGAGGAACCAAGGACCCACTGTACCACTGTACCAGGAGGAACCCAGGACCCACTGTACCAGGAGGAACCCAGGACCCACTGCACCAGGAGGAAACCAGGACCCACTGTACCAGGAGGAGGAACCCAGGACCCACTGCACCAGTGTAGTGTCTGACAATGGGTCCAAGGATTTCATCCCGATACTTAATGGCAGTCTGGGTGCCATTGTCTAGCCTGTAGAGGTCTGTGCTCCCTCCATGGATATGCCTCCCCAGACCATCACTGACCCACCACCATCATGCTGAACCATGTTACAGGCAGCAGAACGTTCTCCACGGCTTCTCCAGACCCTTTCATGTCTGTCACATGTGCTCAGGGGGGGAACCTGCTGTCAGCTGTGAAAAGCACAGGGCGCCAGTGGTGGACCTGCCAATTCTGGGGTTCAATGGAAAATGCCAATCCAGCTCTATGGTGACGGGCAGTGAGCACAGGGCCCACTAGAGGATGTCGGGCCCTCAGGCCACCCTCATGAAGTCTGTTTCTGATTGTTTGGTCAGAGACATTCACACCAGTGGCCTGCTGGAGGTCATTTTTTGTAGGGCTCTGGCAGGTCTCATCCTGTTCCTCCTTGCACAAAGGAGCAGATACCGGTCCTGCTGATGGGTTAAGGACCTTCTACAACCCTGTCCAGCTCTCCTAGAGGAACTGCCTGTCTCCTGGAATCTCCTCCATGCTCTTGAGACTGTGCTGGGAGACACAGCAAACCTTCTGGCAATTGGCACGTATTGATGTTCCATCCTGGAGGAGTTGGACTGCCTGTGCAACCTCTGTAGGGTCCAGGTATGGCCTCATGCTACCAGTAGTGACACTGACCCTAGCCAAATGCAAAACTAGTGAAAGACAGTCAGAAAAGAATGAGTAGGAAAAAATGTCACCTGTAAAACCATTCCTGTTTTGGGGGTCGTCTCATTGTTGCAACCTGTTGTTAATTTTCCAGCAGCTGAAACTGATGACCAACCCCCTCTGCTACTTACCTGACCAGATCCATATCCCAGGAGTGTCCATTGACTTGATGCCAGACTCTGATTACAAAGTCTGCCTTTCTTTATATATTTTATACACATATATATTTATTTATTACACACACAACACATATATATGTATATATAAAACCAAGGATCTTGAACCCCCTTGTCTACCAAGATAATATTTATAAATGGCATGTTGGAAGATCCAGGGGTTAAAGCAAGCTGACGGCGACTGCAGCCCAGTAGCGACTGAAATCAGAAGCGATGTGTATGATGTCACTTCCGGGGTCACAGCTGTCATTCTTTTTGCCACGGATGCAGCTAATCAAGCCATGATTGGTGCTTAATTAGCTGCAGTGGAGTCCAGGGGGGGGGGACATAAGAGGTTTAATAGACCCTGATGTACAGTAAGGGGGGCTCTGATAAAGAGACTTATGTAACAGGGGACTCTGATAGGGACCATGGACTGTGAAGGGGGAACCTGATGCAAGGGGGGGGGGGGGGGGGGGCGGCTATGATGGGAACCCTGATGCAAGGGGGAGGGGGGGCTATGATGGGAACCCTGATGTAAGAGTGACTCCAATGGGGATATTGGTGTAAAGGAGTTATGATAGGGATCCTGATATAAAGAGGGGGTCTGCTGATATAAGAAGGGGTTCTGATATAAGGGGGAACCTGATGCAAGGGGAGGGGGGGGGGCTATGATGATGAGGATCCTGATATAAAGAGGGGTTCTGATATAAGGAGGGGTTCTGATATAAGGGGGAACCTGATGCAAGGGGAGGGGGGGCTATGATGGGGATCCTGATATAAAGAGGGGTTCTGATATAAGGGGGACTCTGATATAAGGGAGGACTCTGATGACAACCATAATTTAAATGGGGGACTAAGATGGGGATTTTTTTGGCCAACAAATTTTGTGAAATGTATGCAGTGGCCCTCGTTCTGAACAGCTTGGAGACCCCATCCTCCACCACATCAGGGAGAGACAATCTGCCTGATCTGCGATTTTGCACCGACCTTATACAGTCTCCGTGCCCCCAGCTGGAAGAACTCCATCACACATTGTTACATCCAGGGGCGGACTGACAACTCACGGGGCCCCCGGGCAATAGGGGACCATGGGGCCCCTGTGTCCTTGCCCAAACTCAAAAAAGCCTATGAAAAAAGGTACCAGGTGCATCTCATGGGGCCCCCTACTGACCCCCGGGGCCCTCTGGCAGCGTCCGAGTTTCCAAATGGTCAGTCCGCCCTGGTTACATCCTACCATAACCAGCTACAATGTATCCATCACACTACATGGGAATGACCTCTGACTTCTTCTCAAGACCCCACCCACACTACACTGGCACGACACCACCAGGAGCAGAGGAGCCACCCTAGACTTGTGTCTTCCTACACTGTGTGCATCAATAGAAACACACAACCCCATAACCTCCCCCCCCCCCCCGCTCCTCCCTCCTCCACCCTGTCCCTTCTCCAAGCTAACAGACCAGTTGCAGACTGCACTGTCCACTGTTAACTCTTTCCTGTAAATACTGGAAGTTCAGGGAAGCAGCACCGAGACAGCAGAAAACCGGCAACATTGGAAGCTGTAAACGGCAAGTCCGGGGGGGAAAATTATACCAGTTTTCCGAGGACGGTTATTTTTTTGGCTCTCAATGCGGTAGGCTCTGTTCACACCATGAAGGTGCGACGGAGAGCGTGCGCTTTTTCGGCATGTTTAGTCTTAAGGTTCCTGCGTGTTGCGTTTATAGCGGCCCGTTCATTTCAAGGGGCTGCCTATGTGTGGGAAAAGCGTAATTTTTTTTAAAAAAAAAAAACCACGCCAGCTCTAATTTAAAAAAAAATTATGCCGCACCAAAATACAATGGTACTGCAGCACCTCGGCGCGTTCGCTGGTGGAGGCGCCATTCAGAACGAATGTCAAAGAGCGGCACGTTTTTGCGCAATGAGATTTTGCGCACAATTGAGAACGTTGCTGAAGGTCCAAGCCCCTCCATTCACACCAATGCAATGTGACCATTTAAAAAAAAAAAAACGCATGACGAGTTGCACCCCGTGTGTGTCTGTGACGGCGTTCACATTGGCGCGACTCCGCGGTGCCGCGCTGATTTTGAAATATAAAAAGGTCCCTGCGCTATTTTTGGTGCGACTCGCATAGACGTCTGTGAGTGAAGTCGTGAAATCAGCGGCTTCAGGCGAAGTAGTGCGACTTTCAACGCGTGTGAACCTAATACGACTTTAAAATCAGCAGTGCAAGGAATACGAAGTTACAAGCAGACGGCATGCTAAAGCGACTCTGCACAGAGATCTCTACTCCGGAGAAACTTTGTATCTTTCTTCTGGTCTCTGGATATAGAAAACCCCCCCTCCCGGTATATGGAGCCCCCCCCAATGCCCCGTTCCTTGCACACAATAGTACATACCTCCCCATCGCTGCGACTTCAGCTGCACATCTGCAGGAATTGCGCGGACCGGCCCTGCAACATCTGCTTCCCCCGAGTCATGCTTTGTGCTGAAGAAAGTGCATTGTGTCCCTGCGGAGAGGGAGGGGGGGGAGACACGGATGTCTGGGGCTGGGACGTTCTTCCCCAAACTCAATCCAGATCCCCCCCCCTCCTCCCGCAGCCCCCCACCCCACCATCCCCAGGCTTTAACCCTCGTACATCTGCTCCAGCGCCGGCCCTCCCGATTGTTATTTCTGAGAGGCGGCGATGACATCTGGTTTGGGGTGCGTTTACACTTGCGTTGCCCTCTGAAAAGTGATCCGCGGTGGATCAGTTGACAGGCGGCTCCTGGACACCGGTTTTTAACCCCATAAAGTCCGCAGCAGCACCGCGCTGCAAACACACGCATTGCACGTGCAGCCCCATTCGGTACCACCGCCAACCGCAACAGGGGCAGGGCGGACTGATCATTTGAAAACTCGGGCACTGCCCGAGGGCCCGGGGTCAGTAGGGGGCCCCATGAGATGCACCTGGTACCTTTTTTTTTCATAGGCTTTTTTGAGTTTGGGCAAGGACACAGGGGCCCCATGATCCCCTATTGCCTGGGGGGCCCCATGAGTTGTCAGTCCGCCCCTGCAAACACACACATTATTGGAAATGTGCACTACTACGTGTACACAGCACCCCAACATTTACACAGTACCCCTACATGTACACAGAAACCCCTAAATGTACACAGCACCCCAACATGTACACAGCACCCCTACATGTACACAGAACCCCTACATGTACGCAGCACCCCAACATGTACGCAGCACCCCAACATATACACAGCACCCCTACATGTACGCAGCACCCCAACATATACACAGCACCCCAACATGTACACAACACCCCTACATGTACAACACAGCACCCCCAACATGTACACAGCACCCCAACATGCACACAGAACCCCAACATGTACACAGCACCCCAACATGTACACAGCACCCCTATATGTACACAGAACCCCTACATGTACACAGCACCCCAACATGTACACAGCACCCCTACATGTACGCAGCACCCCAACATATACACAGCACCCCAACATGTACACAACACCCCTACATGTACACAGCACCCCAACATGTACACAGCACCCCAACATGCACACAGAACACCTACATGTACACAGAACCCCAACATGAACACAGCACCCCAACATGTACACAGCACCCCTATATGTACACAGAACCCCTATATGTACACAGAACCCCTACATGTACACAGCACCCCAACATGTACACAGCACCCCGACATGCACACAGCACTCCAACATGTACACAGCACCCCTACATGTACACAGCACCCCAACATGTACACAGAACCCCTACATGTAAACAGCACCCCAACATGCACACAACACCCCAACATGCACACAGCACCCCTACAGGTACACAGCACCCCAACATGCACAGAGAACACCTACATGTACACAGCACCCCAACATGTACACAGCACCCCAACATGCACACAGAACCCCAACATGTACACAGCACCCCTACATGTACACAGAACCCCTACATGTACACAGCACCCCAACATGTACACAACACCCCAACATGCACACAGCACCCCTACAGGTACACAGCACCCCAACATGCACACAGAACCCCTACATGCACACAGCACCCCAACATGCACACAGAACCCCTACATGTACACAGCACCCCAACATGTACACAGCACCCCTACATGCACACAGCACCCCTACATGCACACAGAACCCCTACAGCACACAGCACCCCAACATGCACACAGCACCCCAACATGCACACAGAACCCCTACATGCACACAGCACCCCAACATGCACACAGAACCCCAACATGCACACAGAACAACTACATGTACACAGCACCCCAACATGTACACAGCACCCCAACATGCACACAGAACCCCTACATGTACACAGCACCCCAACATGTACACAGAACCCCTACATGCATACAGAACCCCTACATGCATACAGCACCCCTAGATGTACACAGCACCCCAACATGTACACAGCACCCCTACATGTGTGTTATCACACTTTCCTACACTGTAAAGGTGAGAACCCAACTAAGTTTCTACTATTACAGGGATCTGCAGATTTTCCCCTCTTACATCAAGTTCCCAGTCAGAGTCCCTCTTACAACAGTGACCCCATCAGAGAGCCCCCCCCCCACCCTTACATCAGTGACCCCATCAGAGCCCCCCCCCACCCTTATATCAGTGACCCCATCAGAGTCCTCTTTACATCAGTGACCCCATCAGTGTCCTCCTTACATCAGTGACCCGATCAGAGTCCTCCTTACATCAGTGACCCCACCCCATCAGTGTCCTCCTTACATCAGTGACCCCATCAGTGTCCTCCTTACATCAGTGACCCCATCAGAGTTCTCCTTACATCAGTGACCCCATCAGAGTCCTCCTTTTACATCAGTGACCCCATCAGTGTCCTCCTTACATCAGTACATCAGTGACCCCATCAGTGTCCTCCTTACCCCATCAATGACCCATCAGAGTCCTCCTTACATCAGTGACCCCATCAGAGTCCTCTTTACATCAGTGACCCCATCAGTGTCCTCCTTACATCATCAGTGACCCCATCAGTGAGTCCTCCTTACATCAGTGACCCCATCAGAGTCCTCCTTACATCAGTGACCCCATCAGAGTCCTCCTTACACATGACCCCATCAGTGTCCTCCCCATCACCCCATCAGTGTCCTCCTTACATCAGTGACCCCATCAGTGTCCGCCTTACATCAGTGACCCCATCAGAGTCCTCCTCCTTACATCAGTGACCCCATCAGAGTCCTCCTTACATCAGTGACCCCAGAGTCCTCTTCAGAGGGGTCATCAGTGTCCTCCTTACATCAGTGACATCCCATGTCCTCCTTACATCAGTGACCCCATCAGAGTCCTCCTTACATCAGTGACCCCATCAGAGTCCTCCTTACATCAGTGACCCCATCAGAGTCCTCCTTACATCAGTGACCCCATCAGTGTCCTCCTTACATCAGTGACCCCATCAGTGTCCGCCTTACATCAGTGACCCCATCAGAGTCCTCCTTACATCAGTGACCCCCATCAGAGCCCCTCTTTACCAGTGTCCCCATCAGACTCCTCTCTTATATCAGATTAAAGCAGAGACCACAGGCAGCCTCTGTGGACCTGAATCTGTGCAGACTGAGGTCTCCTCGCTGGGCCTAGCCTCAGGCGGATACATTCTTGCAGGGGGTTGTAGGTTGGAGACCCTCCACCATCACACTGCACAGGGGACAATTATCTGGTCTGCCCTCTAGTGGCCATTTTTAAATTCTCAATTATACCATGGAAAATACGGGAAGGTCTGTATTCCACATACAGTATACCTGGAAGGTGAACTGCACCTCCACTCTGGGGATCCAATCAAATCTACAGCTCAGAACACATCCACATACCAGACGTAAAGCCATACTTTTGATTTAAAAAAAATAATAAATCGCAGACTGCAAAAAGAAAACAATTTGCATTTATTTTTTAGCATAAAGATAATCAAATTTTACGGATGAAGAATGTGACCGCAGTGTATTCAATTCTAATTGGTTGCTGTAGGTCTTTGTAATGACGTCATCACCACTCTCTGCCACATTGTGAGTCCAGGCTGACAGGACGACAGAGGGGGGCGTGTCCATGACTACCTGGGCTCAAGGGAAGCTGCTGGAGTAACACTGGTCATCCCTCAGCCCTGAAATGGACCAGCAAAGGATTGCAAAGCAGTCAGTCTTCAGGGGGAGGGGTAAGTATTGCAG